GCATTATTGTGTTGCCTGTGGTGTGTGTGTGTGTGTGTGTGCATTAGATGACCTTTAGCTACCTGAAATTAAAGGCTTTCATGCATTGTTTTTGTGCGTGCATGTGTGCGCACATGTGCCTCTGTTTCCTCCTGCACACACTATGTGTTTAATGTCAGAGCACAGCGGAGCTCTCTCGGGTCCCCTGGGCAGCTCTTTGTTTGCTTTAGCCATGCGGTGGCTAGCCTAGCCCGCTAACTCCGAGACACTTTTAGCCTGCGCTCCACTTTTATATCATCCTGCTTTTATTTTCCTTTCTGTCTGCTCTCTGACCAAACATGCAGCACTGAACTGGCCTTTAGCAAGACTAGTATTGGTGCCATTCTCGACCATTGACAGACAGATTTGGTCATTGTGGTTTTCGCTGGCTGCCATGTTAGCTACAGCTTAGCATCTTAAACTGTTAGCACCGGCCAAGTGGCACTCGCTGTCAAGAATGCGAGACGTGTGAAGGCCGCCTGTTTGGTGCGGCGCATCTCCGGAAGTTTTTAACCTCCTTGTCTTGGAAGATTGAGGCTCGCAGGGCTTCAGACAAGAAACCTTTTTTGATGCTTAGAAGGCTAGCGCATAAAGACATAGTGTTAGGTGTTTATTGTGGTCTGGGGTTGGACGCTGGAGTGTGTGGAGGGACAGAGGGAGGAGGAGGAGGGAGGAAGAGGGATGGCGGTTTTAGCCACCAGCTGTTGTTACCTTGAGCATAACGTCCTTTAACCCCCATTACAGCAAACCACCACAAGCCACAAACACGCTAGCTTCCACTGAGTGAAAAACAACCCAAACTCACTTGTTTACTAGCTAATGTGCCGTGTCGTTCGCCGTCTCTTACTCACTCAAACCCCGCTCCGCTCTCGTCTTTTATCGACTGCCTCATTCACATCTTGCGCCCTCATTTCCTGACATATTCTCCTCAGTCTCTTTGTACATTTTTTTCCTCACCCTCTCTCATTATCTGTCTGTCTTTCCGTCTGATCATTTTTCACATCCTTTCCATCGCTTTCTTTTCATCTCCTTCTTAGCATTTTCTTTCATCTGGGTCTTCCTCAGTTTGCCCCACTCGGAGCCTTTGTTGGTTAGGGCCCTGGGTATGCGTGGGTAACCCCGATGCCCATGTAAAAAGGCTGTGGACTCATAGAGCCTCAGTGTCAGTAGATGAAAGCAGAGCGAGAGATTCTGGGGCTGGCACCCATCTCCCTCTGTCCTGCCACCATGGCCTCTTATTTCACAGAGAAAATTAATAACTTTAACAAACATCAATGAGCGAGGGCCTGATGCTCGGTTGGCTCGTCGGCTGGCCTGGCGTACACGCGTGTGTGTGTGTGTGTGGATCTGTGAGTTTGTGAGTGTGCACACATGCCTGGATATGTGTGCGCTCGCTTGTATGTTTGCGGTCCATGTGTGCGCATTCGGGCTCCTACCTTACATGTGAACTATTTTGGAGGTTGACAGGAATAGTGTACGACAGAGAAATTGACAGGTTGATGAATAGTAACGGAGGAAGAGGATGTTGGGGGGGGAGGAGTGCATCAGGCTCCACTTTGGGTTTGATCTGATCAGATTGTTGTCTGCTTGAAAGGCCATAGTGTCCTTCCTTGAAGCCAAGAGGAACTGAAAGATGGATGGATGAAGGGAGGGATGGATGGATGGGAGAATGTGACCACTTCTGAAGCATTGTCGACAGCCACGCTGAATAGGCAGCGGGCCTGCCTGGAGCCACGCCTGTATTTATGATCTTCAAAGGAAGGATGACACACACACGCTCACGCACACCCACAAAATGTTGATAGTTACAGGAAAACACATGCTTGTGCAAACGTGGGCACACACAAATTTGCATATAGATATCTGCTCACACATGATAAATGCAAACCTTTGCACACACTCTGCGTGAGACAAGCCTCGGCGCTCGCATTGTGTGAGAGCGGGTCAGTTGTAACTCAAAACTAAAACGCATTTTTCTGTTTAGCTGTAAACATCGACATGTGAACTGCGCAATGCTCTGGCCTGCTCACTTAGCAGTTTGGGGTTCAGTGTCTTGCTCAAGAACCCTTAAGAGGCTGGAGGAACCAGATGTCAAACCACCAAAACTTGGAATAGTTTGATATTGTGGGAAATATGCTTTCCTCCTTTCTTGCAGAATTACATCAGAAAGCTGATGCCACTTACATTTCTGTATAGTAAATATGAAGTCTTCCCGAGCAGCTGGTCGGCTTAGCTTAGCATAGAGGGACACAGCGAGCCCGGCTCTGTCTGAAGGTAACAGAATCAATTTGAAACCAAGCAGTTTAGATGTAAAAAGGTCCAACTTTAGTTTTTCAATGGGCCACGTGCTCTTTTCTTAGCCAGAGGTTGCAAATGTCTGAAGTCTTCTGAGGAGTATCAGTCAAAAGCCCCTGGACTTCTCTTGAAGACGTTTCACCTCTGATCTAAGAGGCTTCTTCAGTTCATCCACTAACCCAAACTAAACGTCTTCAAACACCCAAAAGAAAAGTCTAGTTGCTTTTTACTTAAGCTCATAGTACTACAATGAGCTGGAAGATTGGGAATCTACATACACATACTTCCTGATGTCTTACTCCCACTGTGAGGCTGACAGACAGCAAGTGGACACGCGAAGAAGAAAAATGTCCTTTCTGTGATTAAACATGAAATTTCCAAATCAAACATTTAGCATTTCGCACTCGCAGCGATCACAACGACAAATGTTCCCAGAGACCGTGGCGGACAGCAGGAGCATGAGAAGATTTCCAACATTAAGCAGAGCTTATTTGGACACATGAAAAAAGAGGAGGATGAACAACAGACAGAAGAAGCTGTCACACATCATATTTTACGTCAGTATAGTCGGACTAGTATACACAATGTCCAGCCAAGTGTGATCCGTGTTTCAGATCGCTGTCATTTACAAAGATTAGTCTGTCTTTACTTGTTGTGGATGCTGCCATGTTGAGAAACACCAGAGAATCTGCTTCTTTTTGAAGACGGTGCGCTTGAAATCGATCCAAGATTCCCAGTCAGAGCTGCTTGTTCCATCATCTGAAAAACACAAATGATCAGTGTTAGAGTTGAGCAACAATATACTGTGTTAATTACATGTTGGCAGTTTCTTATCTATCAGCTAATCTACATGGATGTGACATTAATCTCTGCAAGGCATCTATTAGCTGTATATTTTATCAAAGGTGGTCACATGCCTTCCACACTCTTGCCTTAAAGAAAAAGTGGAACTTCTCCTTCACTTCTCTCTGATTTTACAAGTATTCCTTGTAGAGAAGTTCCTTTTTTTTCCCCCCACAATGAGGTGAAACTTCATTATCACAGTCTTTGGAAACAAATTAGCTGAAACACTAACACCTCTATGACAAATTTTGATGTGTTTTAACTGGTTTGTACGTTCCATACCAGGAAAGCTCTAATGAATTTGCACAAGTGTCAGTGGACGTTCTATTTCAGCTAAAAGGTAAACACGACTATAGATGGCTGTTTACCGTGTGTGAATCTCTCTCTTTGCCTTCCTCTGTTCCGTCCAGAGACATGAAAAGCGGCGGCGCAGCAAAAAATACTTTACGGTGTTTACGCTCGCAAATAATAAAACATAAATTGTGGAAACCCTCAGCCTTGTACAGTTCAATTCATTCAAAGGAGGCAGCCCTGAGAAACAGCGGTGAGACCACTGATTTTCTGCAGGCAAATATTTGAAGAGCTAATTTGGAGGGGTTGGGTTTGCTGCTGCTGTGTGTGTGTGTGTTTCTGTTTGTGTGTCAGCCACATGCAGCCAGAGAGCCAGGCAGCCAAAAGGTATTAAATTAAAGATGTATGTTCTTTTCAGAGAAGCTGGCATAAAGTTATTAGACTGTCTGATTAATTGGATAGTTGACTAATTGTTGCTGCTGTAAATCTGTCAGGAATCCTTCAGTTAGACCACCTGCCAACATCCAGGCAATTAATCTGTCTCACCGCTGGTTAATTACCCCATTACCCAGTCTGTCACCCAACAGCCAACCAATGACCCTTGATCTTATTTGATATTGGCATACAGCTGGGGCAACAAAAAAAAAAAATCACTAGTGGCACCAGTCCGGGAAATTGATTGGTTTAATTGATTGCAATTGTCTGTTGTTTACAATCTAAAAGTAAAAGAAAAAAAAAAAAAAGAAAAAAGCTCACAGGGCTGTCAAGGGCACAGCCTGACAAAGACAACAACTGGAAATGTAAAGTGGCAGCAATAGGAGGGTAAAGCTTATGTTTGCTGCCTGCCTGGCTGCCAGCAGAGTGTGGACAGGACTCTCCAGTGCGCCCTGTGCCCGAGAGGGGCGGGGTGGGTGGCAGAGTATAGGGACAGAGGGAGCGAGGGAGAGAGGAGGAGGAGGGCAGGACTGGCAGGGTGCGGTCTGAAGTGGCAACAGATCGTTTTGGATCACTCAAATCCCTTCAATTCAACTGGAAAGCTGCAGCCTGTTGCGCGCCGGCCGCATATGGAGAGGAGACGCTTTCAATCCAGAGAGGGCACCAACCAAACAGCAGGCGAAAGTGGCTCACGTTGTGACAGCTTCCCAGAGCAGAAGAAAGAGAGGGAGAGAAACCACAACACTGCAACTCGGATATCAGTAACCGCTCTCTCTCTTTAACTCTCTCACCCACCGAATCGACTTTGAACCTGTTTGTTTAAATACACGGACTTTACAGCCTGCACACTTACTGTTGATTCTGTTGGGCGCTGGGAGCGAAGTTTCTCAATTTGGGTCAATGTTTTGGAGAAGCTGAAAACTTTTTTTTTTTTTTTTTTTTTTTTTTGTTGGTATCCTGATGGTGCCCCGTGTAGCCGAGGTGCTGATCTCGTTTTATCCGAAATCTTCGGACGTGCTGTCGCAACTGTCACGGACGATGGAGTCGGGAACTGAGCCGGGGAGGTACTGAAGACATCTGTCTCCCCCCCGGGAGAGACCTCCCTCCCCCCCGGGGCGATGCGGATCTCCTTCCTCCTTCTCACCGCCTCTCTGTGTGCCTTGGTCCTCCTCCTCGCACCTGCCTCGGAGGGCTGCGGGCCGGGGAGGGGGTACGGCAAGAGGCGGCTCCCGAAGAAGCTCATCCCGCTCGCCTACAAGCAGTTCAGCCCCAACGTCGCCGAGAAGACTCTGGGAGCCAGCGGGCGACCCGAGGGCAAAATTACGCGCAACTCCGAGCGCTTCAAAGAACTGACGCCGAATTACAACACAGACATAATCTTTAAAGATGAGGAGGACACGGGCGCCGACAGGCTCATGACCCAGGTGAGGAGGGGAGACGGATGGTGTGCGCCGCCGGAGATGCGCAAAGATGGGGCGCTGTTTCCTGAGCTATACTGCTTTATGTGTCGTTAAAAGTGATTAAAAAAAATAATCCTCAAGGTCTTATTAGTTACTCATGAGCTGCTGGTTGACTGCAGCATTCCATGAGGCTGAATGACGTGAATCACTTCAGACCAGATCAGCCACACTGTTCCTCCAATTGTCTGCTGCATGTTTGCTGTTAGTTAAATGTTTAAACCACAGTGATTGATTTCATTGACTCTCGCCCCTTCGTTTCACTTCTGGATTTTGCTACTTGACATTCTTAACTGCTTTTGCTCTCGCACCAATTGGTGTCTGTCGTCTGCACAGTTTTCCATTTGGCCAGACTTTGTGTGGTGCGTAAATCGCTCCCTTTGGGTTTTTACGCGCAGGACAGATTTAGCCTCACAGAAAACAATCTTAATCTCAATAATTTCACATCAGAGTCTTTAAAAAAAAAAAAAAAATCTTGTTTGTTTGTTTTTGGCCGCACATGAAGACACCTTTTACCCATTTGAAACTCAAACTACTGGAGTAGTAGCTTCTTTACGCACTCCAAACTCTACCCAGCTTTGTTGCGAGAATTTGGAATAAACTGTTAAACAGAGTTTGATCTAGAACACATCCATTCAGTCAGTCAGTCGGTCATTAAATGGTACTACCATCGACCACATTACCTAATGCAAAGCTTCAAATAATTGCATGTGAGCAAATAGATCTGGAGTGCTGAGAGGCATCTGGAGCTCAAGCCTTATGTAAGCAGTCTATCTGAAAAAACTGCCAAATCATTCCAAGCAAACACACAATCACAGCTGTGTGTACTTTGATCCTCACAAAATTCACCTGACAGAGTAGTAATATAGAGTTAAATTCTTCTTGCATGTTTTTGTTCTAGTTAAGAGTCACCGTACACCCTCATCACCTTTGTTCTAGTACCTGGGCGGATGTTTGACTTATTTAATCAATCCCTTGCTCCCCTTCTTGTTATGTGCTCTACTGATCTTTAAGAGCCACCTTCACTGTTCCCACATTAACTTGAGGACACTGAACAACTGAATGAGACATCACGTTGCTGTCCCCATTCTTCATACAAATCACATCCATTTGGTCTCACAGCGTCCACGTTTCACCTCAGGTTTCTGAGCAGGACTATTCTCTAACAAGTCTGCCTTCCCTTTCTCTCTCTCTCTGTCTGTCTGTGACTCTTCCAGCGTTGTAAGGACAAGTTGAACTCGCTGGCCATCTCTGTGATGAACATGTGGCCGAACGTGAAGCTGCGGGTGACGGAGGGCTGGGACGAGGACGGTCACCATTCAGAGGACTCGCTGCACTACGAGGGGCGTGCTGTCGACATCACCACGTCAGACAGGTAAGGCATGCAGCAGACCACGTTGCTCAGTGGAAATAGGTCAGACGAGGGCCAGGCAGCATCTAAACTGCCTGCAGTCTGTCAGTTATGACAGTCAATAAGTCAGGCAGTCAATGCACTTATCAGTAGTGTGATGAGTCAACCAATCAGTCAGCAAACTAGCCCCACTTGTTTGCTGATTGTAAACTAAAATCCAAATTTAAGTGTGTCCTCATTTAACAACATTTCAAGAACATTAGACGTGAGATTATGCATATTTTCTTTTGTCCTCTTTACAGGGACAGAAACAAGTATGCCATGCTGGCCCGCCTGGCCGTAGAAGCTGGGTTCGACTGGGTCTACTACGAGTCCAAAGCCCACATTCACTGTAGCGTCAAGTCAGGTAAGAGACGGTGATGATCTGTACGTGCATTATCTGAATGTGTCTTGTCGCCAGCTGTCATTACCGCTAATGAGGTCGATTCTAGACCCTGTTGTTGGTGATCGCTAATGGTTCAGTTTGCCTTTTAGTGCCTGCCTCATCAGTCTGTGTCGGTGTGAACGGCCTTTTGGGAGCCAATCAAAGCAGGGCGTGCACCTGCGCTCTTTGCTCCGTTCAGTCTCACTTCTCGGTCAGATCTCACCATAAAATCATCAGTTCCAAAGATTGTAGGGTATTTAGTGGTGTAATGTGCAGACAAAACAGTATAAGACATAGATGATTCTGGATGAAATCAGATGAACTAAATCAGTATGTTTAAAGTGGCATCTTGCTCTCCTGTCTGCTTCTCTGTGACCAATTTCTTTCCATTTCATTGTCAGTAATAAGTTTCTCCAACACAAGTCCTTGTATCGGATTCACGCAAACAATAGCTGACGGCATTCCACCTCCAGCTCTTCTTGAGACATCTGAGACGTGCGTTTACCCACGTCTGGTACCACCAGTTATTGGATGCCAAACTAATTTTCGAGCAGTCTGCTGAGGTTAGAAGGCTGTGAGATGATTAACTCTCCCTTTGTTTTGCTACGGCTTTTCCTTCAGTAGGTTTCTCTCAGATCTCTTATCTGAATCTTATCACCTCCTGGTCTCAGCCCTCCTTTTCTGCAGCCTTCAGGCCAACAGACACACACACCTTGGGCAAATATTTGGCTGCTTTAAGGCTGCTTCAAGACAACCCCCCACCACCACCACCACCACCACACACAAACATACACACACATTTGCACTGATTGATTTCTTATCGCGTTCTAATTTTTCTTCAGTAGTCATAGCAGGTATTCAGTTCTAATCTGTTCTTGCATTCTCGCTTTATTCGAGGTCATCCTACGAAATATTTAAAAAGAAAGCTCATTGCAATGCCTCAATCTTCATCGAGCCTGTGACTCACTTTAAAACACAAACTGTGCCGTAATCCAAACAATATCTAAAACCAGGTCTGAGTGTGTGTACTTTCCTGTCTCTCTGACCCCAGGCCGTGCTCTGACTGTGCTGATACAATCAGCTGGTTATCCATTAGCTCTCGCTGACTACCCCTTCTTCCCACCTCATCTCACTGCGTCTTAAAGGGCCAACTAAACCAGGTGGACTCAAAGAAGATCAAACGCACAACCTGTGGCAAGTTTGGAAGTTTAAAATGTGGAACAATAGAAAAACAAATCATGCAGAGTTGTTTAAAGAAGATCAAATGCACAGTCCATGGTGCATTTGTAGTCTTAAAGGAAGGACAGTAGCTCAGAAAATAAAACAAATGTCATACAGTGCAAAATCTGGTTTGAGAGCATGACATGTACTTGCAAAAGTGAAGGGGCAAACTTTCTCCTTTTGCAAAACATAGACGAGGTGCCCAACAACAGGCAAAAGAGCTCCTCTCTACTTTTTAAAAAAGCAGTCTAGTGACACCACAACAGGAGTTTTTCATTAGCTCTATCTTTAGTTCACCTATTTTAGGAGTAGGACTGGTTTAAGAACTGAAATGATCAACTGACTTATAAACTGCTGATAACGTCTGCGTCTTTCTGAAGTTCAGAACCCAACAAAGTTTGAACCTGACTCACATCACATACAAATGTTAACAATCCACCACTGATCCGCCGAGATAAAGCTGCTCCTGAGTCAAAGTCTCACCTGCTTTATAGATCACTCAGTGACCTAGAATAACATGCAGATCACTGCAGAAGGCCAAATGCCGGCTGTGCTGTTGCTCAACTCCTCAGAGGAATTCTAATTGCATTTTTCTCTCTTTATGTTTTCTCTACACATCCTTCTCCTTAGCAACAAACAGGTCATAAAAGTTATGACTGCACCGTGTTAAATCAAACAAGATCATGTTGTTTTTTTTCTCTTTCACTTCTGCAGAACATTCTGTGGCAGCCAAAACCGGCGGATGTTTTCCCGGCGATGCTCAGGTTACCCTTGAAGGTGGGGCAGCTAAACGGATGCGCGACCTCCTGCCCGGCGACCGCGTCTTGGCTTCCTCGTCAACAGACGGCCACGGTCCTCTCCTCTACAGCCCAGTCCTATCCTTTCTGGACCGCCAGCCCAACGTCACAAAGACCTTCTACGTTATCGGGACTGATGCAGGACTTAACATCACTCTCACGGCTGCTCACCTGATCTTTGTCTCAGACTGTACTGGTGGGTTGGAGCGACCAGGGCGGGAAGAACCAGCTGCAGAGCCACTTTCGGGTTCCGTATGGGGGAGCAGGCCTGGTCGGAGAGCAGGTCTGAGGACAGTTTTTGCCAGCGAGGTCCGGCCGGGACAGTGCGTGTTTACGTCGGCTGGGGAAGTGAGGTCACAGGCGAGACTTTCAGCCGTGACCTTTGTGGAGGAGCGGAGGAGCGCTGGGCTGTTTGCCCCCCTCACACAGCACGGCTCTATAGTGGTGAACGGCGTGCTGGCGTCCTGCTACGCTGCTGTGGACAGTCACCATTTGTCCCACTGGGCCCTGGCACCGCTGAGATTCTTCTACGGCCTGATGGGGCCTTCAGGAGCGCAGAGCGACGGGCTGCACTGGTACCCTTGGCTTCTGCAGAAGCTGGGGAAACTGCTGCTGGACGCCGGACACTTCCACTCCTGGGGTATTTAATACAGACATAGAGACACGATTCAGTCGGCTGTTTTCAGGAGCACCAAAGCACAGAGCACAGCTGACTTTCTGTTTAGCAGAAAGCAGTTGATGGGCCCACCAAAGACAATTTTATATTGTAAATATATTTTGTAATAACTCCACTTGCCTGTATTTGCTGTACTTTAACTTCTTTTGTTGCACACATCTGCAAGATACAAAGGGAGGAGACAGGAGGTTCTAGTAACTTCAATTTCAGAAGATTTAGAGAACGGAGAGTGAGGTGAAATTTCACATTGTGAGTGCATCTTACTCATTTTTTTTCAGTTTTCTCTCAGAGCAACCCAAAGATCCAAAAGCGTGACTTTGTCCTTTGTACTGTATTTGTCGTTATCCTTCCACATTATTCTTACGGATACAGAAGTTTAAAGATCTGATGACATACCAAAGGGAAGGTTAAGGTGAGGAGGAAGAAAGACGGAGAGAGAAAACTAGTGACTGAACACGGTGAAGATTTATATGTACATAGGTATTTATACAGTTATTTCATGTTGGGAAGGAAAGGAAAGACAGCAAATGGACTTTTACTCGGTTTACTGTCAGAGTCATCACTGCAGTTAGTCACTGATTCTTTAATCTTTGTTTAAGAGCCTATACTGTATATTAGAATTAATTTACAGAATTATATTTAACTGGACAACTTATAAAGTGCATTACAGTGTGGACAATGAAGTTCTATGTATTTGCTGAATGCAGCGTAGCAAGGTGCTGGTGTTGCATTGCAGCATCTGAAAAAAAAAGGACTTTCCTGCGACTATCGAAGGCCGGAGAATGAAGACGTTCACACAGCGCTTGTGTCGTTCTACTTCACTTGTCGCTTACTGATGCAGAATAGATGCATGGTGCTACAACGGCCCCCCCACGCCTCCTTACACGTCGTCACCGAGTCCGCCGTCTGCTCTCATACAACTTGATTGTCTCAAACTGATGTATATGGTTCATTTATACATTTTCATGTTTTTATCAGGTGTTTTATTTAAAAGGCTGTATTTGTTTTTTTTCTTCATTGTTTCGGGTTTTCAGGTCAGTAGTCTCTAGTTAAGGCATACACAAGACTCAGGCTGTATTCAACTACTGTATTAAGTAACAGTTATGCATCATATTAAAGACAGTAATTATTTTATTGTTGGATGATAAGTTCATTTGATTGCTCTCATTTTTTTTTTTTTTTTTTACAATCTTTTTGTATTCCATCTCTTCCCCCCAACACTTAACTAAAGACCTTAATTGGCAGAGGTGCAGTAAATCTAAGTTTTACGACTACGGGAAGCAGCTCTAATCTTTTCCTAAATGGAAATGGATAAACATGTAATCCATGACACCCAAACGCCCCTCCAGTTGACACTTGTTAAGTATGCTTTGTGACAACTCAAACGTTATCCAGGAACTCCAAAGCATTCTTCTATATGACTGCTCAAAGATTTGTCAAATATGTATATTAAGCTATTGTTGGAGAGACTATTTAAAGATCTATTTTTTAGAAAATAATGTAAATGTGTTGTTATTTTTTGGCAACTCTGTTCATAAAATTTGTATTTGAAACATAAACGCTTGTCGTGCTTTTGTAATACCAACGAAATCATCACTGAGGAAGCAGTTCACGTAATAAAGTGGGATTTAGAATGCTTGTTCTAACAGAGGCGCCCTTTGTCTTTGCAGCAGTGCTACTACTCGGCGAACATGATCATACGTTTGATGCGCGAACAGCCATAAGCCGGTGATCCCAGCGAAAAGCGAGGCATGGCTGCGACTGGCACAATGTGAACAGAGCATGAACGGCTGTGGTTACAGGGTGGGCGGCTGGTTGGTTTCAGTACCACGGACAGCATCACCCAGCGACGCTCTTCTTTCCTCTTCTTGATGGCTGAAGGCTTTTTTCTTTTTTCCAGGATGGAGAGTTAGTCCTTGAACACAGCACACTCTGCTGGATGCTTCAGTATCTGCAGAGAAGGCTTCAGAAATAATTTTGCACATAAAAATGTATTCATACCCTTCCATTAAAGAAAAGGCAAAATTCACTGAAATAACTGGAAACTGAAAAAAGTAATAATAAATAAAAATTTGCTAAATTATAATTTAGTGAAATAAGATGTTGCTTTTGAATTTTGGTTGAAAAGAATAATTTAAAAAAACAAAAAACAAAACTGTCCCCGACAAATTAGAGCACTTTGCTGATGAGCAGTGAAATCAAAATACTTGTCGACAGGTAAAGAAGTCTGATTGGTAGTTACAGAAAACACCTGATTGCAGTGATTGGCTCAAAGGTTTGTTCAACTAAATATTTGTTGTGGGTCCTATCATGCTTGTTTTTTAAATTTTTGAAATATTGCTGTTGAACCACAATTCAAAAGCAATGTCATGATTTTCATTAAATTGTTTTTTATTATTACTTTTGTCGATTTCAACTTATTTCAGCTGTTTTTTTTTCCTTCTTTAATGGGAGGGTATGGATAAATAGGAGACTTCTGCTGCTTAATGTTGTATTTTTAATCTATAAGAGTAAAAATGAGGACTAAGTAGAGACACTTTACTCAGTTTGTTCATTAAGAATAAGAATCAGATAGAAAAGTAGATTCTAAGTAATCTTTATTATTATTATTGGTCAGTTGGGTACAGGAAAAACCTTTTAGTTGTATCCCATAACTCATCGCAGGAGACTGATCCATAAAGACAGATACAGAACCAGACCCAGGTAAAACATTCACCGATTTGATACACAAAATTCGAAAAACAGGATGCGAGTGACTCATTTACCTAAACGTGCAGGTGTTGTTCTCACATGTGAGGCTTCTAAAAATACACATGGAAAAAAATAAATAAAAATCCTGCACATCCCAAATACTGAAAACCATTAGAAAATCTGTTCACCTGAGTCTGGTGGCTTCAAATTTATCTCTATGCGTCCCGTCTCCGTTTAATTAACTCTGTTTGGACCACGATACCTAGCAACATTTTGAGGCAAGGCTGACGGACAACCAGCAATTATAATCAGGACTGATTGGAGAGAGAGAACCACCACCGTCCTTCTTACCGAGATTATAAGAAAAAAGAAATGTAACAAAAAAAAAAATACAAACTGCTTGTTTCAGCTGCCTCAAAACCGAGCCACGTATCAGTGTCTTAAATCAAGGGTGTTCACACAACAACACATGGGGGAGTCAGCATGCTCACAGTAACTCACATACAGATATGAATGTCTTTATAGAATATGTATCTGTCATCACAGCTTGGCAAAAATTACACTTATACACAACGAATGCACAATAACACCTGGAACCATAATACCAGCCAGTGGAAAAAGACCCAAAACGTTTTGAGTTGCTTTTTGTCCAGTCAGAAAAAGTTTCCTGTAAAACGGACGCCCTTCTCCGCTGGTAGGTGGCGGCGGCGGCGGCGGTGGTATCGTCCAATAACAATAGCCTATAGATAAAGATTTATGTCTTTGCAAACAACTCATAAACGCACACACACACAATCGCACACACACACACACACATTTTCTCTCACACTTATTACACGTTAGTAACATCATGAGAAACCGTGAATCTCTTTTTAAGTCGGTGACGGAACGAACGGCTGAGTGTGAGTTAGTTTTAACTACCTATGCGGCTACGCTGAGAGCAGTAAACCTTACAGAAGTACAAAACACTCCATAACATCCTCAGTTGGCAATTATTATTATTATTATTATCTTTTTTTTTTTTTGACATAGTTACATTAGGCTATATGTAATCATTGCTTGGCAGCATACAAAAATAAAAGAAGTTGCTCTGGTGCATATTCTGAATCATCTGCGTTCGAGTCCAGTGGTCTCGACGCAAACGGAGGGAACTGTTTTCGGCACATTTTTTTTTTTCTCCTTTTCTTCAAAAATGAATGAGGCTGGCTCAGTTGTTATATTATATTTGATTAGTATTAGGGTGTAACCGTGTCTATAAACGATGACTATTATACTACCAGTAGCAGCTTCTCATTGGTGTAGTCTGGTGGCTAGCTTGATGGCGAGCCTGGCTAATGCATATTTTGGAATCCCTTGTGAGAAACAGCTCCAAGGAATTCAAAAAAATAAATAAACACAACTGTCACAAATGATTTTTTGCAGTTGCGTTTTTCAAGACCAGAATTTGTTTATATAGGATTCCTGCTGTCACTTTGACTACGCTGCTGACTGATGACCAGGTAACTTGTTTGGATTTTTAACAACAGGTTCAAACTACCACCATAGACTCTAAACTAATACAACAACCAAAGGGCCCATTTTTCCACACGTAAACAATTAAATCAGGGATAGAGGATGGGCTGGATGTGTCCGAAAGGCATCGCGTCAGGACTGTAACCTGAGATAACCCCAGGACTGGATCGGATATGTGCTGTTTGGTTGATTAAGCCTAAGTACGTTGTGTGTTTAAACGTGTTTTTGAAATCTGACTGAAGCAAAGTGGCTGATTCGGAGTTGGTTCTAACTTTTTCCAGTGTTTTTTTTTCCCACTGGGTGAATGTTTCCTACCAAGAAAAGTCTACTCCGTGTGCAGTTTTACCTTTTGGTGTCAGTCCTCCTTTATAAAACAGATTTTTCTACGTGTTTGGAAGGGATGCTGTGCTACACTTGGCATCGTCTTTTGCACTGCTCTCATTACCTCGATACCACCGTCACACATCTCGACGGATGTTTTCACTCTCATGATGGGACACGACCAAGAGTAAAACACAATTCATCTTCAGTTGTAACCATTGCAGAGGTCACCGTCCCTGCATCTGCCCCGTATGACCGGGATTCTCGACTCCTCAAGTATGGTTTAGCAACAATAGCAAAGACAAACAGCGTAAAAGTGAGACCTGTGAAATGGTTACATCTGTCGTTTTTGTTTTGTTTTTTTGTAAATGTTGGCAGAAATCCACAGAAATGCCAAAATCCACTTTGAGCACAGTGTAGCAGACCTTAGAAATGCATGATTTCCTCCAGGGCTGTGACAGCTCTGCTTCTATGGCCAAAGTCCTAGTAAAGATACAGTATCAGGGCAAGAGAGGGGGGAAAAGGATATAGGCAAGAGGAATAGAGACGCAGAGAAGGAAGCTGGAGTGACGTCCTGTCCTGCTCTTTTTTACAGCCTCTGGGTGAAGTTTTCGGGAAATACTCCTTTGGCGGCGTTTTCTTTCTCTTGCTGCCACTCGGCCTCCTTTATTCCCATCAGCCAGCCGTCATCCTAAACGTGCAAATATTGTATTGCCGTGATCATCTCTGTGTGTCTGTGACGCCACAGCACGTAATTAGATGTCTTGTGTTTGTGTGCGTACCTGTTCGTCAGGGTTGTCAAAGGTGATTACTAGCACCACGTCGCCAGCCTTCATCTCCAGTTCATCCGTGTCGTTGGCAGCGTAGTCGTGCATCACCTGGACCTGTTTCACACAAACGCGAGCATGACTTACCTCCCTATGGACAAGGTACATTTCAGTAGATTCTCAGTACGCCTGAGATTTTTTTAATTAGTTTTCTGTTTCACCTTGAAAAGGAAGCCGGGAGGCATTTCTGCAGGTTCTGGTGCTACTTCTGTTGGTTCTTCTGCTACTTCAGGTGTCTGCACGGAAAACAAGAGGGACGACTCACTTTTTTAAGACACATAACTGACTCGATTAAATCTCATTTCCTTGAAGCATGAAAGGTTAATAGAATAAAGGTTTTGTATTTATGACAACATGTACGAGGTGTGTCAGAGAAGTTCCAGGACCGGTGTCACAAAAGATAAATGTAAAACCCAAGCTACAAACTAGGAGTTTCCCTCGTCAGACGATCAACCAGCACGTCTACACAGAGATCCTGTTTGCTTCATTCAGTGAAGAGGCGAGAGTTGTGGCAGGACGAGTCGTGGCTGCTTCACCATGACAACGTGCCTGCTCACAACGCCCTGAGCATCCGACAGTTCCTGGCTGAGAAGAACATCACCGTGCTGGAGCAACCTCCCTACTCACCCCACCTGGCTCCATGGGATTGTTTCCTGTTCTCCAAGCTCAAGGGGGTCATCAAGGGGACCCGTGTAGAAGATGTGGACAACATCAAGATGAATGACAATGAAAACTGCGGAGGATCCCGGAAGAATCCTTCCAGGAGTGCATGGCGGCGTGAAGAGAAGGCTGAGGAAGTGTGTTAGACTCCAGGGGGACTACTTGGAAGGGGAAAACTTGTTTGGATTTGAAATATATCCTTTGTGACACCAGTCCTGAAACTTTTCTGACACACTTCATACATTGAAAATACACAAATCGCTTTCCTAAAGAATTTTGATTGAAATGTTCAACTCTGCAAAACTGTTTAATCTTGACTTAATTAGGACTTAATCACAGACAGGTTGTTTTGTGGTTCAAAAACATGAAGCACACATGAACACACCCTGTTCTTAAAGCACATCACAGCCTTAAAACAATATCTCATCTAGCTATTTTAAACATAATGCAAAGCGTAGGGGTTGTGTGTCGTTGCAATTACAAGATGTATAACATTTAAAATTAGAAAAAGTACGGCTCTTTGGAATTCTACACAATATTTGCTGCGTTTCACGTTTTTCGTAAAGAAAACGTTGCAATAAAGAGGGCATTTTAACAATTAATGCATATTATAGAAGTTCCTTTTGCACTCACCTCCTCCGTCGCTGGTTCTTCCTCTTCTGGTGCAGCAGCAGCTGCTGCAGATTCACCCTGTGAGCACAGAGACAGAGGACAAGCGAAGATAGGTGAGAGTGAGGCAGTCGATAAATTAAAGTGAAGAAGGACAAGAGATGAAAGAAAGAGGAACAGACAGACAGACAAGACAAAGACAGACAAAGAGACAAGCCGAAAAGCCTCAACAGCAAAGTCCTGGTTAACACATTCATGTAAACAGACAGCGTCATTAGATTAGATTGCACAGATGCTATAAAGATAAAGCTTTTGCGCAGCTCACTATGTTCATGGACTTGTGATTAGCAGTGACTGAAATTAACTGTGTGTACTGAGAAGCAGATGTCTCTATTGTTTTCTTTCCCTCATCAATTTATTTTCAACCTGCCTTCTTCATCTCAGTCGATGCATCCATGCTGCTGGTCCAGATGCATCCTAAATCTTTCCATGTCAAGAATCTCCATCTTCCCTCCTTTCATTCACAATTTATCTCTCCAGCACCCCCATGCTCAAACCTCCTTCTCAAGAGTCGATGCATCCACCATTTTCGTCCAGATGCATCTCTCCATTTTTTTTTTCTTTCCTTGGTTACCTGACCCTCTTCACCATCCAGCTCAGCAGCAGCTGGGGTGACCTCCTCCTCGGCCGTGTCAGCCGGAGCCTCGTCTGCAGGTGCTTCGTCCTCCGTGGCGGGCACCTCTGTGACTGGCTGGCTTCCCTCATCATCCCAGGTCTCCTGGGCTTCGGTCACGGGGTCGTACTGAGGCGGCTGACTCTCGTCGTCCCCCCATTCCTCCTGAGCCGCAGCCACAGGGTCATAGCGGACCGGTTTGGTACCATCATCCCCCCAGCCCTCTGTGGCAGCTGCTATGGGGTCATAGCGGACAGGCTGCGTACCATCATCCCCCCAGGCATCTGTAGCAGCAGCCACAGGGTCATAGTGCTGCTCGGGCTCTTCTTCCTGGGCACCGCCGTCCTCAGGCTGGAGGGCAAGGGTCAGGTTTCAAGGAGTCAGAGGTCATAAGACATATTTTTATGGGTTTCATAGGGGCTTCATAAATCAAAGAGATGAGGGGCACAAGGGGTTTAAGGAGTATTTAAAGGGGCTGATTTATTAGTTAAGAATTTGGATGAGTAAAAAGGTCTGGCCGGCACAAGGAGAATAAAGAATTTCTGAAGGGCTGGTGAGGGTGTATGGCCGGCATATGAACACAAGAGTGGGCTAAAGACCAAAGCAAATCTTTCATGGAGACGGGATTTTAAAGGGACACTAAAAGGATGCATAAGGGGGCTGTATTATGAGGTTGGCAAGAAAGGGGTTCAAAAATTAAGATTCAAACATTAAAAGACCACGCAAGTGATTTGGAATATTTTAGCCCTTGACTTCAAATATCATGTTTAATATACTATTTTGCTTCATATTTTATTAGCCACACATGCAAAATATCTTAACATTTTCCTTTAGTAAGCTACGGTTTAGACATTCGTGTCTCTTTTAATTATTTGCAATGCTTTCGGAAATCATCTGAGTTTTCCTCCAGCACCACGATCAGATCAAAACTTTTGGTTTCCGTTGCAGCTTGCGTTAAGTACAAATTAGCTAATTTTAGCTCGCTGACATGCTACACAGTAAATGCACTTGCTAATAAATTGGCTAAATTATGCTAAATGTCACTCAAAGAACAGCTAAGTGTTTTGAAATCTGACAGTGATGTAAAGGACTGATTAGTAAAGGGGCGAAAACTTGCAAATATGGTCTTTCAAAGGAAGTTGAACGTTGACATCAACTTGTCTATTATTCCAATTAAAATGATATTTAAGGGGAAGATAAAGCACTCTTAAGGGGACAATGACATTACTTGAAGGGGGAAAAAGAAGCAGCCTTAAGGGGAAAATTAAGGAGTTTTAAAGGGGAAACTAAAGCAGCCTTTTCAATGATGAGCAAAAATAAGGCCAAGAAAGATGCCATGGGGGGTAGAAGGAGATGTCAGCAAGTCATCATAACCATCCCAAGCCCTGAGAAGACTGATGCACGAGTATTGACCTTTACAGAGAAGCTTCAGATTAAATCAAAAGACAGATGAAGATAAGGAAGGGTGGCGGTAGAAGGCAGAAACGCAAAAAACTGTTTTCCCATCAGAAGATAGATGTCGGATCTTCTGTGTGTGGTTAAAAAGCATGGTTTATAATCCCACGGCTATGTTCGGATGGAGAAAGAGGAAGGAAGCTTTGTAAGAGCAGAGGTGGTGTCACTCCTTTCTGAGCCATCGCTGCTTCGCCTCAAGCGTGCTAACACAGCAGAACTCCGTGACTGCCGAGACACGTCTCTCTCTCTTACAGTGACAGGGATGAACGGAAAAGGTTAGTTGATGGACGGAGGGCCGAGCTACGAGCAAGGCTGCGTGAAGTTGCCCACTAGGTTGCCGCTCTTACGTCTACAAAACAATCCACTGCACACATGAGCAACTTCACTCTACTTTCAGAACAAAACTGATCCCTGTGTGTCACAAGAGAACATGTAAAAAGCCACATGTTTTGTCAGTGCAACATGTGAACATACAGGGATATGAGGGGGAACGGAAAGAAAGAAAGTTAATTCAGCTACAAATTAGTTCACACCGTGGAGAAATCGGATTTAAATTTATCACACCATTGTGCAGTCAGTCTTATAATTAATCCTGTATAGGTGTCAGGTGTATGTTGTGCTGTTTGCCATCAACATACTCGACATTCATACAAAGAGAAGACTGCACCTGAGACGCCATTTATATTCGATTCAATACGTGTAAACGGTGTAAAATTTGAAACTGAATTGACTGAAGCTCATTCCCAACTTCTGATTGTGTTGTACAACAATATCTTCAGTGTTTAGTGTTGCCACATCAAGCACTGCAGACACAAAGACAACGCACAAACAGATTTGGGACAGACGAATGAAAGAGATCTAAATATATACATATGGAAAAGCTTATGAACAAAAGCAGCCATTATAGAAGAAGCATAAAGAAAGCAGGGCTTGCATAATGGCTAAATAACAATGTTAGTGGATGTTTGGTTACTATGAACACAATATGATGAGAAAGACTGTGATTATAATGACATTTATATGTGTTTCTCTGGTTATGTTTGGGCATTTATCGGATCGTGAGCTCACCCATGAGTCCCAGTTCGCAGGCTGTGGAAAAAGAAAAGAAGCAACAGAATAAGACGAGAAGAATTCTTGACAAAGTTCTTGCCCGTTGCGTTCAAAAACAAAACACATTTCCAGTGCAGGTCCCATGCTCTAAACCTACAAGCCCATAGCAGTAGATCTCCAGCAGAACAAGAGTACAAGCACTACTCGGTGATGTATTTCTGACCAGGTGGGATTCTGCTGAACGGCTCTCGTACAGTTTGAGCGCAGCGTACGAGAAAAATGGCAAAAATGTCTCGTTTGCGTAATTTAATCTTGCAGTTAGTCCTAAAAGCCGACATTAGTAAGAATGAATCTAATTTCTTGCAGCGGTAAAAATTAATTCACTTGCATCAGAGGACAGCGCAGTGCAGGGATTTATCTGGAAATGTAAAAACTTGTCTCCAGCTTTGGTTAAAGTGCAAACGGATGGATTAGTTTTTAAGGTTTCTTTATTTCATCTGAAATGTGGCAACCTGTGCCCAGCTAGTCATAGGACAGGGGGGTCCAATCCTGGTCCTCGAGGGCCACAATCCTGCATGTTTTAGATGTTTCCTTCTTCCAACACACCTGATTCAAATGATCAGGATCGTTATCAGGCTTCTGCAGAGCTTGATGATGAGCTGATCATTTGAATCAGGTGTGCAGGAAAAGGGAAACATGCAGGACTGTGGCCCTCGAGGACCAGGATTGGACACCCGTGATATAAGGCTTTGGCAGAATTATGATAGTACTGTATTGTATTACCATTAGTATTAACAGTAATCGCCAAAATAAGCACTAACTACACTCCACGTACTCTATGGAAGCCACATCTTTCTGATAAAGACAACCATCAGCATCCATTAGGAGTTTTCAGCCAGAGCAATATTCTCTCTTTTAGCTTTGATTTGCTCGCCGTCTACTTCTGAAGTCTCAACTAACTCTGTGTCTCTGCGGTTTATTACCAGGCAGGTGCAGAGACAGAACAATGCACACTATGCATTTTTAAAAACCAAAACAACGACCTCAAAGAGGCTAAAAAGCTCCATATTATACAGTTGACTGAGAATAAAAAAAGGAGCCGTGTACAAATCTGTACTCTCGGATTTACAATTTGTTCCCTTGGTTCTGTTACGAATCTGAGAGCACAGTTTGTAAAGCAGGACTACAGATATACAGATGGCTTTTATTCCCTCAGGGGGCTCCAGGGGAGCTGTGTAATATTTAGCTTCACACTGGGGAATTTGTTCTCTATGGGTTTGTCATCGCAAGCGCATTTCATTGTTAATGCAGTCCGTGTGCCACAAAATGTAAAAGTATGCAAAACAAAAATAGCTACCTTAAAAAAAAGACTGTACAGTAAAAGAAACATCTTCCCTACAATGTGAGCAACACTTTTAAGTTACTCAGCTAAGATTCATCCAGTCCTGAAGAGAGAGAGAAATAAGAGCAGAGCGGGGCTGTAAGTCTGCAGTTCATGCCATGAGTGATCTGTGGACGGTGCTGAAGCAGGAAGAAGTGGTCACTAGAAGCAGGTTTCTACAGATCATCATGCCATCATCCACCTCTCGATTGGTAATTTGGAAAGAAGAAGCAGAGCAGGCAGCACCTCAAACCGTGCCAAGCTTCCCAAGTGATTTCATTTTGTATTCAGATCTACCGAGCTTATTTCAACATATTTAAAGTCAACCAACCGCGCTGGCAATTGGAAACGCTACGGGCTAAAAGCTTCATTTGATGCTCGATCTTTTGCCCCACGTCTGTGACTGGAACCGCTCATATAAACGAGTTCAGGTTCATTCAGACTTAAATATCATGAAATGAACTTCAAACCTTTCTGAGCACAACGTAAAATCGCTTGTGAAGGTTGGCACATCTTACAGGAAAGGGTCTCTATGATCTCTATGTTCATGCCATGAATCGTCCACCTGTGTGGTTTGCTGGTTGGTTGCTGCACTGAAAGAGTCCAGGTCCATGTCCAACAGGCTGCTCACTGCAGGACTGTCAAACTGACAACAACAGGAACAGGAGGGCTCATTGGCTAACTGGGCACAACAGTGGGGGAGCAGGGATTAGGACAGAATGGAATAAAATAGAATAGGTAGAGCTAGGAGGAAGGGGGGGGAAGGCCAGAAGAGGGAATACTGAAAGGTTTTGACCTGTACAGAGAAAGGGGAAGTTAAACGGTTTCTTGAAAGCGGCTGCTCACGAACCTCTGTAGGTGAGGTGACGCTGATATCAGGAGTTGCCGCAGAATCAAACAGGTTGATGATGTTCTCTGTTTTCAGCTCCTTGGATGGGGTCACCTTGGGTGGAGGAGGCACTGCTGGTCTTAGCTAGAATGCAGAAAACACACGAAGTCATGAAGCCAAATGGATACGACGTTTGAAGATCTGGAGGTTCTCAGTGTCATCTAAACTGTATAGACATGTATTTCTTTAAACTGAAAAAATGAAGTCAGTTCTCGAAGTGCTAAAAACTGCAGTTCCTCAGACGGCCACTTGAGGCTGACAGCAAAAGTGATCAGTCACCATAGACCTCCATGTTAAAATGACCAACTTTACAGCAGGAAAAAACATCTCTACAGCCTGATACAAAAAATGGTTTTGGTCTCTTGGTTTTGGAAGTTTGCGAGGCCCACCTCAACTCCACTCACGCTCCATCTATTTGCTCATTTTAGGTCCAAAATGGCGACGGCTGGAGCCACCGGACAAAGCTTTAGAGCCATCCCACAGAGAAGCTAATTTTCGATGTTTGCCAATCTCAAAGTGTATTAATTAATAAATCTATCCTCTGTGCAACAACTCTGCTGCCTCTGAATGAAGACATAACTTCAGTGAGCGTGTCTACCTTGGACGGGGATTTGGGGATTGGCGGTGGTCCTCCTGGCCTGAGAGTGTGGTTAGATGCCTCTCTCTCACTGAGTGAATGAGAGAGAAAGAAGAGATGGAGGAGGGGGAAAAAAGAGAAAACATGCAGATTACAGTGAAAGTAATGCAGACAGGAAACAACGTTAGAGAAAGATGCAGCAAACGTTAGAGGGGGAGTGGGGCATCTAAGATCTAAAACACCACTAGAGAAAAGCTACAAAGCATGCTCGACAAGAGTCCAAGCAGAAGTCGTTATTGCAAGAGCTGTCATGCAAGAAAAAACGTGTGCCTTCCTCCCTTCCCTCCATCCATCCCTCTCCTCCCATGCAAGCAGGCTTTGTCTGGTGCCTCTAGGAAATCCTCACAAGCGAGCAGTGATTGAGGCATTCGCTGTCAGAGAAAACGTTCTAAAGATGACAAAAGCGGCCCCTCAGATCTGCAGATATCAGAAGAGTTTTGGCTTAAACCTGCAACTTAATGCTGGAACAGGCAGTTTGGTGCAGTGGAGGACACGACTGTTAGTTTTTGGAAAGTCAAGCACCAGAGATTGGATTACCTCACAGGCAAAAAGAAAATACTGCAGGTCAGAAACTCTAGGTTCAGTTTGTGTTTGTATTAATGCAGAAGTCTCCAACCGTTTTTGCACAGATTTCAAGCAAGACAGTTTTCTACATAACTAATGATAATCATTTTTTCTATTAAAAACGCATCTTAGATGATTAAAATTACTTCTTATTGCTAAATGCCATCGCTACTTTTACTTTGGCATCAGCATCGCTCTCTCTTTTCAAAGAAGCTCCTCAGAGAAGTTTGTTTTTTTATTAATTTTGGCAGCAGTTAGATTAACGGCTTCAATTAACAGTCGGGCATGAAAACCAACAGTCAAGTGCAGGAAACGAGCACAGACGGTCTAGTCGTTTTTCAAAATAAAACACCCTGCAGACTCCGCAGGAGATAAAAATAAAAATAAAACGTTGTATTTTTTCTGTGCAGCCTGGTACCGGTACACGGCCCGGTGGTTGGGGACTGCTGCATTAATGCACCATCACAGTATCACCTCACATGATCAGGGCCCTCAAGTGTTTTACCCGATCCTGAAGCCAGTTAAGATTTTATCAGTTGTTCCTATGTTGCAGATCTCTACATGTGTGTGATCCATCAAACTACCAGAGAAAGAAGCTGGGGTATTTGTGTTTACTAGTGGATCCTTACAGGACAAAGGGTGTTATTGATTGTTTTGGCATCGTAATTTTACTACTTTGGTCGGTTCTGTACACAAATCAACTGTATGTCTAATTGCCAAGAGAGAGAGAGAGAGATCCTTCCTCTCTTGGTCTTCCTGGGGTTTCTTAATTTTTTTTTGTAGTATTTTTTTTTATCTGCATCAAAGTTCTGAGGATAGAAGATGTCAAAAATGGACCCGACTTGAAAAGGTTAGCGAATAAAAGGGGACTGAGGCGAAGAGTTCCTGAAAAAAAAACACCTCCTGCCTCGAGGTGCAAAGCTGCATAACGTAGGTGCACACTTTGATTTATCACTTCACGCTCCTCGGCAGGAGATGAGAAAGTTTGCTGCCGTGTTGTCGTGCAACAGTCTCGCCTGGTGCAGCATCAAACGCCTGCAGGTTTGCTCGACTCTTGTGTATCTGCAGCTCCGAGCACACAACTCTCTGACCACACAGTGCGTCCGTGAAATCACTCGCACCACAACCAAGCCTGAAGTCTCCCAAGCCTGCAGACTGACTGACATACGACAGCTGGACAGACAGGTCAGTTGGACAGACAGACAAGAGTTGTGTCACCATGGTTACCACGGCTGCTGCCAGTTACCTCCTGTTTGCTCCTGACGACGAGGTGCCGCGGTTACCTGTCTTTCTGAAAGGGGGGTGGGGGGGGGTTCAGGAGTAGCTCCAGGTTAATGCATGCCATTTGGTTTATTTAGTCCTGCAGCTTAAAATGCTTGTGAGTGGTTTACGTTTCATATTTTCCAGACAGAACCGGGAATAGAGAGATGAGCCTTTAACTTAAATCAGTTATACAAAACTCCTGCATGTATCTCTCAACATATCAGTAAAAACTCTGGCTCTTCATCTGTCAGTGTTGCATAATAGAAAATATGTGAACAACAACATAAAAAGGTATCGCTTTCTGTGTGAAGCCTAAAAAGCATTAGCAGACCTCTTTACTGTGGCTTCTGTGAAGTCCACCTGTCGGCCTCACGAGTTAAAATTAAAGTGAATAAGTGAGGGGAAATACACAAGCACATTGAAAGCAACCTCACCACTTCATTTACAATTTTAGCTTCTGACGCAGCCCGCTACATCCATCAAGCGTGATGGGTCATGAGCTCAAATATTTGCAAACATTTCTGCAAAGATTTAGATTTTGCCCAAGTTTAAAGCATTTATTTAGCCGGCTCAGGCAACCAACCGGTGTAATTAATCGATGTAGCTCAGCAATCCAAAAGGATTCCCAGAATTTCACACAAACAGCAGTTTCAGGTAGATGAGGAGATTTTTTTAAAATAATAAAAACCTGAGGTCACTGGGTTTTTACCTCAATGGAATTTTATAACAATAGAAATGAAGAGAATATGATCTTGACACATAATTCCATGAAAAAAAAGCCTTGTAGGAAGTTTAGCTCCAGTTTGAGAGCATTTGAGCGACGGCTCACTCACCTGTTTGGATCTGATCCCTCCAGCTTCACCAAGACGTCATTCAAATCCTGATCCAACTGTGCAGACAGGAAGACAGGATGTAAGACAACATGCTGGTACAAAGAGCGCCGCGTCTTTTAAAACTTGATTTAAGCAACAACATCTTCTGTCTGCCACTGCTTGTTTTCATATATGTTGAGATTCAGACAGACACGATTTACAGCTCTCACTCTAAGACAGTAATTCAGCAGATTATCTGCCCGCAGTCAAGTTTAAAATGACCTGTAACACACTTTGTATTAAACCTGTGCGGCCAGCGAGCAGTTTAGAATTTTAGATTCGGTTGCAGCAACTGCTGATGTAGTTACTGGCACCGACTGGATGCTGCCAACGTTTTCCATGGATTGTTATCTGATACGCTGCATCAGTTTCTCTTTGTCTGGTCTTTCTCTAATGCCAGCACCAAGTGGAGGTCAGTGAAAGGTTCTTACCCGACTCATTTCCTTGTGAAACTTCTCCTCAAAACCAGCCAAACTCTGGAAGGTGCTGACGTAAAACCCAACACGACTGCAAAAAGGACCGAGAAGACAGAGAGACACGGCATTAGTTCAATATCCTGTGAGGATAAATTTGGCACAAATTTAAGTAAAATGTCTCCAAATCTAAATTCCAGAGGCAACTGTATACGCACCTGTTCCAGAGTGAAGGTAACTCCTCTTGCAAGTCAATATTAATCTCCTCAAACACCTTCTGGGCTCTTTCCAACTCCTCCTCAGCCTGAAATACACGCGCAATGTGTTAGCACAGTGCATTAGGGGACGTTTAGTAGTGACTGCTTGTGTTTCTGTTGTTAATTATGTGCTCTGTGTGTGGGTTTAACATCTCCTGCCACTTTTGATTAAGCTTCAGCGTGATTTGGTTACATTTGTTTTGTTGTTTCCAATTTCATTTTGCTTGCATTAGAGTGTCAGCAGTGTAGGAAACAGAGGAGGAAGAGGATAAAGTGTGACAAAACAACTTTGAAGCAAGTGTTTCTTTGTTATGTGTTTGACTTCTGGGCAACTACAACAACTCTTATGATTGTTCGTAGTCAACAGGAGTAAATTTAGTGAGTACCTGGCTCCTGGAGAGACTGCTTTGGGCAACGTTGTGTGCAGACAGGATACCCTGAGCCCAACCCGGAGTGGCCCTTTCCAACAAGGAGGAAGGCTGGAAGAGATGAGAAGTCAGGTTAAATCGTTCGGTGTTGATATCTGTGCTATAAAATCCATCAGCTCCTGTGTCTGAAGCGTTACCTTGGTAATTTTAATGCCCCCGTCCTTTTTCTTGGTCTTGTGTGTAGCAGCATAGGTATGCCTGGCACTGTCGAAATCCACCAACTTCCTGTCCCTCTTAGCTATACGAGCCTGAGGGGAAGAAAAGAAGAGAATAAATACGTGTTAGTCACTGTCTTCATTCAAAACACTTCATTTTTCTCTGCACTAGCGTTACTGAGATAATCATCAAAATCACTCAGACACTTTTAACTACAGTTTAAGCGTCTTGTATTTTCCAGCGTCCATTTTTTTTGTGAAATATTTCAACACAGATGGTGCATGATGATTAAAACTCCAGTCAGATCACAGCATACAGTCTGAAGCTTAACTGCAGCCTTTGCAAGTGTCTGTGTCGCTCTGCAATTACAACAACAAGCTGGTTTTGGTGCTTCTATGCCACTGTATTGAGTGGCAACTTAAACAGAGTGGGTGCTGCTGGAGACACAGCAATTAAAGACTGAAATAACAGCAACTTTTACCAAAATGACTGCAATGTAGAAAGAACAGAAGTCACTGTAACCTGCAGGTCTGTACCAGAGAAAATGGCATATGGCTACTTTGGCACGGTCCAGAACAATGGGTATGCATTCTAACAAAGCCAGATTCAGCTACAGCCTATATATTACATTTTGTTAAAGGAAGCATCATCTTTGCATAATTCAATATGCTGTCCCTAGATGACGGAGTACTACCATGCATACCAGACACAGTCGGCATTGCTGCAACATGTATTTAAATGGAGTGCTAAAGCATTAGGCGTAAGAGCTACACAAAAGTTCTCAGATGTTGTTCTGCTGCCACATGGCTGCATTGTCAAAAACCTAAAAAAAAAAACAATCAGAAATGTAGAGCCACACTTGTTCTTGTTTGTGCCACTGTGGAGTGTTTTTCCGCTGGCAAAGAAAGTCACAGCGGACAAAGAAGTTCTTTGTGGTGGAGTGAAACAGAGTGTTAAAATGAATCTGAGAGCGTTACTGGCACACTTGTTGGATCTCAGATCACGAGCGGCACTTAAATGGACTCCAGTTCATGCATGCCTTTTCTACCCATCAGCATTTGAAATATACATAATGTGATTGTTAAGAGGGCAGCTCTTGTTGACTTGTTGGATGCAAGCGCTACTTCAAAGCCTCTGAGTTTGCAAGAGAAATATTCCAACCAGCACCAACGTGGGATCACAAATCCACCTGTAAGTAGAGCTTAGGCTGCAACGTGGAACAATAGATCAAGTTTTATGTGGAGGGAAGCCTGTGTGCTGCTCCATGAATACATCCATGACTATGCAGCTTACCTTGATATCCGGGAACTGGCCCAGGTAGGTATCCATGGAGATGAGCGCATGATCAACCAACTTCTGGTGGTAATCATCCCAAAGCACATCGCAGTCCTGCAGCATGGACGGACACACAGAAACACACTCAGTCATAAAACTCACACTGGTAGACGATAAATAAGACAAATGGCTTCCAGCGTGCTTTTTTTAATTGCTTTGCGATTGTGTTTCTCTGTTATTTCACTGTTCATTCCAGCAGCTTTCTTGCTTCTTCTCGGCTGCATCTAAATAAAGCCCGAGCCGAAGCCCTTTTAGCTAATTGCAGTGTTTTCATGCGGCTTAAGACTCGTCTGACAAGAACCGTTAATCCACAAGTAATTTCGAGAGCAAACTTTTCAAAGTCTGAGAGAATTTAAAGAGCTGCTCCACACTTCTCACCAGACATGCCAGCTCGTAACGTTTCTTTAATATACAGCAACATATTACATCTGAAGGAGCAGATGCACATATTTCTAACCATGCACACTCAGACCCACACAGCTGTGCACACATCAGGATAAACAGCTGCTACCCTCCCCTATGCAGACAACCTTTAAAACACATCTGAAGCGTTTCTGACCTCCACAATGGAATCCACTTCGTTCTTGCCGTACCACTCTGGTTCATACATGTCAGCCAGACACGACTGCAGGTTCTTGGAGGACTCGTGCATGGCTGAGGACAGACACACATGCTGTTACTAGCTGCATCTCCATGATTGTGTGGCTACATGTGTGCAATCATCATATGTGTTCTGTGTGCATCTCACCTTTCACTGCCTCCAGGTAGGCTCGTAGGTCCCTCTGGAGTTTGCTGCCTTCAGTCTGAGAGTGAAACATAAATATGAGAATCTCCAAAAAGCATGTGCTGTACAATGTGGGTTCAGGCTTATTAGAATGGACAGCTACAGTACATATTGCTTTATGTTATGCAACATTTGGTCTATAGGGCATCACTTTATTGCACGCTCACATATTGTTTGTTGAAGTTGATGACTCCCTCCTCAAAAGCAACATCTTTGGTCTCGTCTGCTTTGCCAAGCTTCTGTAGAACCTGTTGAAGAAAGGAATGAAGGTTAATGGCAGCAAGTGATGTTCTTGATGCTCGTATTAGTATTTACATGTCTTGGTCTCATTTATGATTTCTGTCTAATAAGTACATCAGCACTGGCAGATATAAGCCAAATCAACAGTATACACAGTCCTGAAATGTATTCATAGCCTTCCATTAAAGAAAAGGCAAAATTCACAATAGTCACTCAAATAACCAGAAACTGAAAAAGTAATAATAAATTAAAATTTGCTAAAATATAATTTAGTGAAATAAGACATTGCTTTGAATTGTGGTTGAAAAGAATAATTTAAAAAAATAAATAAATAACTGTCCCAGACCAATTAGAGCACTTTGCTGATGAGCAGTGAAATCAGAATACCTGTCAACAGGTGCAGAAGTCTGACTGAGAGTTACGGAAAACACCTGATTGGCTCAAAGGGTTGTTCAGCAAAATATTAGTTTACGGGTCCCATCATGCTTGTTTTTAAAAAAAAATTATTTAAAAAAATATTGCTGTTTAACCACAATTCAAAAGCAATGTCACACATTTCCTAACATTTTTATTTATTATTTTTTGTCAATTTCAACTTATTTCAGCTGTTTATTTTTCCTTCTTTAATGGGAAGGTGTAAATAAATTAGAGGAAGACTGTACACTAACTTGTGTTCCTGCTCAATCACACACTGATATAACGTGCATTTACTAGAAGAGGGTACTATTATGTGCCTTCTGTCTGTCCATCTTTAACACACTCTGACAGGCGAATAGCGCCCCCTCCCATTTAATCAGCGCATAACGCGCAGGTGCTTGAACACACACCAGGCCTCCTATCTTCTCCACATTGCAGCATGCTGATTTTATGTTATCCTCCTGCTGGGGGGAGGATGTCAGAGAGCATGCAGCTGTCAGAATCTGGGTATCAAGCCCTCCTTAAGCTGTTCAGATGTAGATACAGGCCTAAAAATAGGCTCTCGGAAGCAGCAGTGTCAGTGATGAGTGGGCCCGTCTCACTGCGGTGTCAACGTGTCCGCTGTCTGACCATGTTCTCAAAAGCTGCATCTGAAGGGGACACATCGATCCTCAAACGCAGCATCCCTGCTCTTATCGCTCTTATTATGATGATGATGATGTCGTGATGCGACACTGCGCCTGAGTGCAGGATGCGGCACCGCTGCTTCGGGGCGCGCAAGGCCCTGGATCATTTACCTCCGTGCGCCAACGCGGAAAAAAGAAATAAAATTAAAAAGATAAGGAGGCAGCTCTTACCTTTTCTTGGGCTCTGGTTAGTTTTTTCTGAACGTTGCTGGCCACTTTCCCCGCAGTCAGCCCCTTCCCCAAATTCAGCTCAGCCATCTTGTAGCGTATAGGTCAGTGTGTGGACGCGGGGAGGGGGAAGGAAAAAATAAAAAGCAATAACGATCGGTGCGGACCGCTACGGTGACCGTGGAGGCAAATGCATCAATGTCCGAAATGAACCGGTGACAGATGTAGAAGGTGATGAGAGGTTCGGGATGTATCTGTAGGAGGACGTGTGTGCGGAAAGCTAAGGCTGGATTCTGTGATATTGAGCTGCTGTGTGTGTGCGCGTCCCTGTCAGAGGAGGAGGATGCTGAGGGAGATGATCTTAAAGGCACAGATGCTGCTGCGCATCCACACGGGGAAACCGTACCATGAATTAAAGCGTGCGTTCCCAGGTGAGGATAAAATAGGAAGAAAATGTTTTTGATGCAATTTCAGATTTTGCAACTTAAATATGCACATTTTTATTTACATTAATCATGATTTTTTTTTTTTTTTTACCTGCAATTTGGCTCCAGAACATGACAGTTGAAGCCAAACCCTTTAATGGTACCAGTGTTATTAATTGCAAATAAATAAATAAAGACTCTACTAAAGTTTCATACAGACAGGAAACAATACAAAGGCCTGCTGTCCAGCCTGTGTGTGTGGCATCAACGCTTCTAAACTAATAGTCTCAGTCTGCGGTAATGTCGTTACATAACAGATGAAGTAATAGATCACTGAAGAGCAGCTCAGTAGTAAAGTGACTCCAGGAATAAACATTCACTGAAATAAAAACACAGCATGGTACTGGAGATGATGCGTCCTGACATTTTTCTCAAGTGTCTGCATAATGTATGAAAATTAAATTATATAGGATCAGTTTGCAATTTCTGGTGAGAAAACAGAAGAAAAAAATGCGGAAATTTGTATATCTTCTAAGCAAATGGATAAGCAGCACTCTGACAGAAGTGAAGGATGTTCCAGCAGAGGTTTCAGGTCCCCTAAAGTTAATCCCAAATCAGCATCATGTGACCAGACAAATGTGTCAAGCAGCAGCTCTGGATCCCTGCTGTCACTTTTCCTTTGCAGTCAACAGGCTTTCTTTAAAAATAAAATAAAATAAAATAAATAATTACGACTACAACTGTGTGGGGTTTTTTTTTTTTTTGGCTTAAAAAAATTCTGTCTGGTTTCCATTAGTTAAAAAAATAAAAAATAAAATAAATACAGAAATAATACTCAAAAAAGATTTACTACTACAACTGTGTTTTTTTTTATTATTATTTTTTGTTTGTTTGTTTGTTTGTTTTGCTTAAAAAATTCTGTCTGGTTTCCACTAGTTTAAAAAAAAAAAAAAAATACACACAGAAATAAAAAAAAAAAAAAAATACACACAGAAATAATACTCAAAAACACAGCTTCTCTCCAGGAGGGGGCGCCATCAGTCCTCTCCTTATATCCAAAGTATGTTCAGGGCTTTTTGAGCAAGATGTTTTTACTTTTCTTTTTTTTTTTTAAATGTATTTTTGCACTGGGAGTCTGGTTCTGCAGGAGTTCTAATACCACCACTGCTGCTCTGAGTGAAGTTATCAGTGAATTCATGGCAGTTTGGTTAATTTTTCTACTGGAATACATTTCATAAACTCCCTGTTCCTGGTGTGGAATGTTCTCAAAACAATTCAGATGTGTCCCTTCGTGCTGAATATAAATCTCGCGGTGGAGAGCAGCTCTCTCTTTGTTGACACAGGTGGCTGGTGCTGGCTGGGAGCTCTCCAAGGTCCTGAACCGACACTCTGCTGGTGCTGAGGAGACTGACAGGCAGCAGAGTGGAAACAAGCAGCCTGCCATAGTCGACTTTTCTTTTTTTTCTTTCTTTCTATCCATTGCACTGGATGTAATTATGTCTCTGTTGCATAATCCAGAGCGTGCTTAGGGGAGAAATCCTGCTTGCACGTGAGAAGGAAAAAAAATGAAGGCTTCCTGTCAGATGGAAAAAATCTGGATTTGTTGTGTGTTTTCCCTCTTTGTTTCCTATTTGCAGCAGATCACACTTTAAACACACCACTTCACTTTCTCCACTTCTCATCCTCACCCTCCCTTCCTCCCTTCCTTCCTTCCTCCCTTCCTTCCTTCCATCCTTGCTTCCTTCCTTCCTTCCCTTTATCCCCGACAATAACAACATTTGTCCACGAGTCACCAAATCCATTCGTTCCCATATAATCACATGAATAGCCCCCATCCACTACCACTACCACCACCAACAACAACAACAGCCTCCCTCCCTCCCTCCCTCCCTCCATCCATCCACCAACACCCCTCTGGAGCGGAATGGTTTAACCCGCCGAGAGTGAGAAAGACGGGCAGCACAAAGGAAGCTGCTCGGTTCGGAGGGAGAGATAATTGGGCGCATGGTGTAAACATGGAATAAAAAAAAATAAAAGAAAGAAAGACAGAAAGAAAAGAAAAAACCCCGCAAGGCTTTGCTTCCTCTATTTCCCCTTCCATCGCAGCGGTCCATTATCGGCGTTTTAATATCACACGAGGTGCTGGAGGAACAACTGCGCGTCTGTCTGGACATCGCAGAGGAGGCAGCCAAGAGTGGAGGAGAGGAAAGAAGGAGTTGAGCATTGTTTCATCTTCTCTTCAGGGTTCCTTTTTCTTTTTTTTTTTGTTCTACTGGAGTTGGCTTTGAAGCTCTCTTGATGTTTCCAAGCTGATCAAGTGAAGATCTCCTTTGCTGCTTTTTTTTTTTTTTTTCCCCTAAATCCCATCTTCTGGACATCGGGGATGACAAAGGAAAAACACGCAGATATGTTGCGTTTCTGAGGTGAGTCACTTTTCTTTGTTCGCCCCTAATTACGCTCATAGATGGCACGTTTATTGAACCTGCACATTGCCTCTGAAGATCCAAGAAGCTCATTTTTCCTTGTGTTCAAATGGCTCAGAGGGGGGAGAAAAAAAAGCCAATTGTGTTGCCCACAGCTTCGTGCCAATCACTGTAATTTGCCTTTTGGAGAGAGAGAGAGAGAGAGAGAGAGACACGAGGAGGACTACCCCAGCTCCTCTATTGTTTTTCCCTCTATTGTTTTCAAACCGTTGCTTAAAGGGAACATTTGGTGCTCTCACACAAAAAGCCGGAGACCCCCTTAAAGGTCGCGGATCAGTGGCAGCCGGATGAATCCTTCATGATGCCTGGGAATTAATAATGTAAAAGACTAAACTCTGAATTTGATACCAGTGTGCATAATTGGGTTGGACAGAGTGTAAACACAGGGAGGCAGAAGGGGAAAGTCACGTGATACTATCCATCAATCTATCCATCTATCCATCTATGAGGAATACTGAGTTTATCTAAAATAACAAGAAGGAGAACATCTTTCTCTCACTGGATCTCTCTCTCTCTCTCTCTCTGCAACTCCTCTCTGCTTCAGGGCACAGTAATAGCACATGAAACATCTTCATAATTAGTAGTTTGCCAGAGCAAAGAAGAAGTAATTACAGGCCCAGTCATTTCCTTTGTTAAACACTCAAATGTTGTCTATATCATGCACCGGCTTCTGTTCTGGAAATGGCAAAGCACGGGTGTTTTTCTTTCCACTTCTTGCAGCTATCGGCTTCGTTCTCCGCATATATGTGGGGCTAATTGTGTGGAAGTGTTTGGTGTGTGTGTGTGGTGGGGGGGCATGTGTGCACAGCTGTCCGAAAACAACAAAAGAAGAAGAAGGAGAAAAAAGAGATTTATTTGGAGGATACAGGGGAAAGTAAGGAGCCTAGCTGTGAAATGAATGAGAGAACATAAACTAGAGATGGTTATTTGGTGCTTATGAGCTCCGGATTGCCTCTAAAATTACAGGAACATTCTGAACTATCACGAAATCACGACATGTAATCATGAATTTGAATTATAGCAAAAAAAAAGGACGCCACGGGAACGGAGCATGAAAACTGTGTAAAGGAGTATTAATACTGTTCGGGTATTGACTGACCTCTTCCTTTTGTTTGGAGTGATTCATTGGAGAGTGCACTGGTGTCAGCCCACAGGGTTTCTTACCGTCGGAGCTATTAAATCTTTTAATAAGACTCTCCTTCCATTTGTGATTCATTTCCCGGGCGGAACTTTGTCTTGGCCACAGATGAACTTGAGATATTTTCTGGGAAACAAACAGCTCAAGGAATCGGCATCCGAACTGTTTGTTTGGTCTTGTGTTTTTTTTTTGTCTACAGTCGCGTATTTGCATTCGAATCAGTATGCGCCGAGCAACAGTTCTGCTCCAGCGGATCTCCCAGCAGGGCACTGTAATCACAGCTTCTGAACAAAATGCGAGACTTTAACGTATACTTTCATTCCTGATGCCGTCCAGTCAGCAATTTTCCAGTCAGGATGCGATTTCTCTTGTTGCGGTGGTGCTATTTACATTCCGTCTGCACTTTCCCCGCGTTTGAATAATGACATGAAACGATTGGCTGTGTTTACGATAATGGAGGTGATGCTGTAGAGACAGGAGGGCCCACTGAGGAGAGCGAGTGTGCGATGGGATTCAAACCCGCACCTTTGAAAAGTCCATTTAAGCTGTTTGAGCAAAGGTCCCCATATGGGGCTTTGCTGATAGTTATGTAACCATAACCAAGAGCCAAACAAGTCTTTAAACTTGGGATTTTTGGCCACAGCGACAGGCTCAAGTTGGCAAAAAAAAGTCTGGTCAGAATCAGAAGTGAAAAAAATCTGTCTCCTTGGCTTCATTTCTTCTTTCTCCATAAGCTCATAAAAGCGTTGAGAAAAATCTGGTAAGGGTTTCTCTTTGTACATCTTTATTTCTAGCCTGAATCTCTTCAATACACTATCATCATTCCAAAGCAATTCATTCAGCGCTTGAAAGAAAACCAGTCCAGTCAAGGCAAACAACGACGTTCAGTATGGAGAGGAAACCTTTGAACCTCACAGAGAGAGAGAGAAAAAAGAAACCCTCCCTCTTCTTCATGCAGTGTTTTCATCGTCGAGCTGGAAATGCTTTAAGAGAATTTAGCGCCGAGGTGAGGATGACGCGTACCAGAGAGGCTACCGTCCACACAGAAG